GTGGGTACTCTCGTGCAGACGAAAAACCTTTAAAAAAGCATACCATCCTGCTCTTACTCACCTATTTACCATCATAGTGATCCCATTTCACCTTCAATCACAACCATAGGTATATGTATTTTTTTCTACGAAATAAAATAATTGTTGGAGGGGACACGGGTGAAAATGTTTAATGAATATGGAAGTACATTTATGGATCTGCAAAAATGAAGACATCGTCGGGTGGTATATATTATGTCGCATGATCGTAGGAGATTATGAATGTTGAACTTCTTTCGCACCGTACATAGCCAACCGTGCTAATCGGAAGTACCGGGGTGAAGCCTTCATTCACCAGTGGATTGAGAATGGTTGTTGATGATTGTGAAAGAATGTAAATTCATTTGTTATTGAAGGTTAGATTCACGGGAAAATTAAGTTGCCTCCCATGTCAATTTAACACGTCTTTTGCGACCAATATTATCTTTTATGAAGGCCTTTTTTGGGTTGGATCGCGTAAATATAAATGTGTCGTTAACCCGCCACCACCCGACGCAGCCAATTAGTAAGGTTTGTCACGTAAACAAAACGTGCCAATTAGTTACTCCTTCAGCACACCCGTGTGTTGGAGAGTAAACCCACAACATTTACAATTTGAGTGTGATGTTTTGCTCGTGATTACCACTCGCTTCATCAGGCGATTTGCCAGAAATGTGAAGAAAGTTTACCTGTCTCGGTGGCGGGTTAACGACACATTTATATTTACACGATCTATCCGAAAAAACACATAATTATGGACTATGTACATTTTTTACAGACTGCTAAGATGTAATTCTCAAGATGCTAAGTAAAATCTCACCCTTGATTATCAAATTGCCATATCCACACGCAAGTTCAAAACCACATTACCTGCGAGTTATGTAATGATAGTTTCAGATTACCTTACTAATTTATCACATTCACTATGGAGGAATCTATTCCATAAACCAATGCAGTGGTAGATGAACACTCCCACGAAGTACATCCCACTGACAGGACACAGCATGGGGGCATTTACGTGATTACCTTTAAAGTTTCTCTTTGAACAACAGTCGTACGAAAGCTCTGCTTGTTAGGATCCGAAGAGTTTCAAGAGGTTAAAATAAATCTGTCTACAACACAAATATGAAGGTTACATAATTTTACGCCTTTTTTCCGTACGTGGTGTTCACACCGTACAACTCTTATCTTGGTGGCCAATATATTTTGGTGCTAATCGTGTTTAACACGTAGGCTTTCGTGACCAATATTATCCATCGTAGATGTTTTTTGTTTAGAATTGTAAATGTTGTGGGTTTTCTCTCCAGCACACACCGGTGTGCTGTATTGGTGACGTATTGTCACGTTCTGTTTACGTGACAACCCTTACTAGTTGGCTGTCGGGTGGTGGCGGGTTTAACGACACATTTATATTTACGCGATCTAACCCAAAAACCTCTTGTGGATTATTTTGTTCGACTGCGAGCGTTAGGTCTTTGCAGCAAACTTGCGTAATCCTTGACCAAAATCTTTATGCAGTATCTTGGCACGAGTAGCTGTGCCTGGCGATGGCTGTAGTGGCAGATTGTGCTTCTCTTTTGAGGGTCGGACTTGAAAAAAAATAAATGTCCATGTTGATCTGAAGGGCTTCCTTTCAGAAGTGGATGAGATGCTGATGACACAGCCCATTGGCAAGGGACATCGAAGCTGCCTGTCCTGTAATCCAGTTGGCTGAAGTGATAACCGGGGTCAGGGACTGCATCGCCGAGTTGAAGCCACCGGTCGTGACATTACAAGGCCCAGGAGGGTGTAGTGCAGCAGTACCACGGTGTATGGGCGGTTTATATTGTTGTTCTGTTTCAATGGATTTACGTAAAATGATTTCTTCACGCTATTACCTCTGTTTAATTGCAACATGTTCAAGAATAATTTAGCGGCAAGCCTAACTATCAATGCCAAGGCCTTTCCCCCAAAATGTCAGGAATCCACCAATGCACAATAAATGTGTAAATACAGTGCAAGTCAGCCTTTCCTTTTAATCCCATGGTAACCATTCATTTTCTTCTTTCTTTGCACAGCACATTCTTTCATTCGAAAGGCTCTCCTTGGGATAATATATTTTATTTTCTGGGGCGGTCTGGAGGAGAGGAGGAAATAATTTTGGGTCTTTGGGAGCTGTAGCCTGTGGCGCGTGGACTTAGGGCTCTGCTGTCGTCGAGATGTACGAGCTGGAAGATGAGGAGCTACAGCTGTGCCCCCCCCACCACTGCCCCCCCCTCATTCCACCGCCCCCCCACCCCACTTCACTGAGAAAAAAAAAATCATCGCTGATGCATTGCTTTTCAACCTGGTTACCCCAGCAACAGCCGTATGGCCAATGGGATTGGCTGCGGGTTGAGTTGACCTTATTGAGGCGTAATTTGGTCTGTGTGCTTGCTGACTCAGGCTGACTGCTAGCAAAGAGGGTTGGAGGGGAGGGGGGGAGGCATAGATATAAAAAAAGTGGATTGGGCTTTCACGTTGCCTTATGTGGGTGACCCGTTTGTGTTTCAACAGACCTCCTAATCAATGGTGATTACAAGGACCAGTGCTCGCTTGTAACTGTACAATTGGATTATGATGTTCATTGGTTAGATATTAAAGTAATTAACTTCCCTTCAATTCTTGCCCATGCGTCCGGCGCAAAGAGAAATGACCCTTCTTAGTTGTGTGCTTATAATCAGCTATTACCGTTTTTAAATTCAAGTGCCCTGTGTTCTTGCCACTTTATTTTTGGCAGTTGTTTCCTTCGGCAGATGCATCACGGTGCAGGATTTAAAAGATCACCATGCGCGGACTTGCTGACAGATTAATTAGCAACGTAGAGAGAAACCGCAATTATTATTTTTTCCCCGACTTGCGTATTTTCTAGGCAAGGTGGAGAATATAAAGGGTTCCATTTTGAATTAGCAAAGGAGCGAGCTAATTTATCTTTTTCATTAACAAAATTTGTGATGCATGATGGTGCCAATTTATTGCAGCTTGAAGTATGCTGAAGAGATCGTAAATGTGTGCACAGCATGCGTCTGATGAATGTTCATGTGAAGCTTTAATTATTTTCCTGTGAGCGCTTGTTTACCACCAACACTGGATCTTTATGGTCCTCCAGAGTAGTTCCTAACGCCGCAGGCTATTGGGCACTAGCCTATTAATGCCTTCGGACATAAACCACGATCAACATAATTAATAGTGTTTATCATTTTTCATAGTTGAGGTGCTACAGTAGTAGCTGAGCTTGTGATGGGACCCCGAACGGTGACCTGATCCCTCGATATTCTTCTGTACGGCGTCTCGGTGGCAGTGCCAGTATTGTGGCGGGGTGCTAGGGGTTATGTCGTCCTTCCACAAAGGCACAAAGGCCATTGTTCCATTCTTGTTGCAGACGTTCAAATCCCGAGGCGATATTTTTCCGAGAGTAAGATGTTGTACGTCATCGTGAGCAAATTGCCTGCCCCGCTCCCCCCCCCCCCGCCCACCACATTCTCCCGCAATAATTCATTTCATCCCAAAATATTAAGGGGGGGGGGGGGGGTTATCCATCTCTAGTCAAGCCTTCGTCGAGTCAAATGGCATCGCGAATCACAACCTTGATTCAGATTTTCCGAGTAAAACCAATGAGTAGGAATGTACGCAACACGGCATGAACGTTACGAATTTGTCGTGTGTGTAACTCTGCAGTCAAGCAGTAGGCAGCTGCCTCGGCTTTGGCTCCCGTTGCTGACGTCAGTAAATCAAACAGCCAGTGACAGCGGCAAGCCCCCCCCTCTCTCCCGTGTTTCAGCTGCATGTACCATCTCGGGCAGATAATGCAAACAATTGCAGAGCCTCAATAAATAGTGATGCGGTTCAGGTGTTACATTCTCTTAGTGCTTTTGCGCATCGTGCCATTGCACGTGAAAACATTCCAAATAAATTGCTCTTGAGTGTAACCCCCCCCCCCCTGTCCAAAGTGGGCGAAATCTATGTTAACTAATTGCCATAGGCATATTGGAAAATAACAATTAATTGAAGAGTAATTGCATTTTCCACTTCTGCTATGTGTAGTGCTTCTGCAGTGACTCATTTAAATGTAACTGCAATGATTTTGTTGGTTAATGTGTGTCGAAATGTACCAGTGCACAACAAAATTGCAGGACATGGTTATTTTAAGATATAAGCCAGTCTTTCGTCTCAGGTCCATCAATTTGGCTCCAGTTCATTAGAAGTTGTGGGAACAGCTGCATAAGATGATGGTCACTGCTAAATGATAGTTGTGTGTGTATTATTTTGTGGGGAGCTGTGGCTTGCTGCGCTGCAAACCCGGCGACCCGAGTTCGATTGCCGCTCACGGCCAACACCAGTGATGATTATCTTAACTGGTCCTGGACCTACCCTCGGTCGACTCGGCCTCAAATGAGTACCTGGTGTGGTGTGTAAACATCGCCACTAGGGAGACGAAGGCGGCCGGGCGTGGTGCTGACCGCCCACCTCCTCGTGTGCCGTGCCGGCCTTGCTAACTAACAACACTTGGCCCGAGAGTATGTTTAGGCTATTTGGGGGATCTTTGTCTTCATATAATGTTGTTGGAAAGTTTAGTGTGTAACAACATGGCAAAGGCACAGGTGCAATGCGTACTCATTGCAGCGTGCTTTTAATGTTGTAGTAGTTCCCATAGACGCTGTCTTCCTCTACACTCGCGCTTATATTTATGAGCGCTTGCGCCGTGGGCCCCAAACAGTAGAGTCATATTATATTTCAAAAAATATATTTCACAGTTCATTTATTTTGAAATGTGATAGAGAAAGTGGTCATGCATACTCTAAAATGAATAAAATTTGATGTGGTCTCAACTTGTTTTTGTCCGTGCTCGCCAACCATTTTAATTCGGCGATCAGCGACGACGACGACGATGATGATGATACATAATTGTTATGTTTTACATTTTGTTATATTTTGTGTGCTTTTTGATTTCCCTTCTCATTTAGAATGGGAATATCACAGAGCTCCTCCTCAAGGAAGGCTTTGCACGCTGTGTTGACTGGTCGATGGGCATCTACACACAAGGCCCAGACAAGCTTCGAGCTGCTGAGCGGTATGATCAACACTCGACGGTGCATCGACACAACACACCGATCTGTATGAAGCCGTCTCTAAAGCTTACAGTCTTGTTTTATTTTCTCACGGAACCCCTGATAGCAGCAATGCACACGACCCTGTGCATTACCTTGCCTCGTCTTATTTTCTTTCTTTGTGTGATATATTACTTAGCACATATGTAATTTAAAAAAACGCCATTTCCTTGAAATATTGCCGGATTGTAATGAGTTGTGTGGACCTGCTACAACAAACATGGCTACATTGTACGTTTTATTATGGGAACAGTATATTTTTTGAAGAGTCAAGATTACAAATGGGAGGTTTTGGAATTTGGTTTAATTTTTTTAGCGATCGATGGGATTTTTGTTTTGAAAATTAATAATTATAAGAAGGTCACTAGCACACAGAGACCTAAAGCAAGAAAATGACATCTGGTAAACCTGCGACAGGCATGTCTGCATTAAACAAAGAATACACATGGCCCATGTAAATAGAAATGCAGTCGTGTTCTATGGTGGATTGTTCCCTTCTCAAACAACCTCGATTGTGCTTTCCATTATTTCCACCGAAGCATGGTAAAACAAAAAAAAATTGTCAAGGCACCTGAGATAAATATTATATCATGTTGAGTGATGTCATGTGTTGATTCTTCAGGCACTGAACAGAATTCATTTCCAGTCAGGTGCTGTGTTAATTTAAACACATCATATAGTAAATGTAAAACCCTTCGCTTTTCTTTTTGAAAATGCATTTCTTTAGAACTGCTTTTTGTGTTTAGTTTGTCGACCTTCGCCCACACCTCCCATTAGCACGGTTGGCTACGTACGGTGCAAAAGAAGTACATGTGTACACTTATGGATGATGGCTCTGCACAAGACATGTTAGTCATGAGGGGTTGTTTGGCCATATGTCACCACACTGATCACTGAGTTGTTGAAAGGAGGGGGGTGCCCACAACCGTTTGAGGTATTGCTCGACACTGACATTAGCCATGGCCAGGAACAAGAGCTCCGGTTGAATATACGTTGAACTTCTTTCATACTGTACGTAGCCAACCATGCTAATCGGAGGTGCGGGGGATGGACAACAAACTGGACACAGAAAAAGCAGTTGTAAAGAAATTAGTTTTCAATCTAGTTGTAAAAGTGCACAGCTCTGGTGGCTTTCTAATATCGGAAGGAAGAGCGCTCCAGATGGCCGCAGGAGCGCACCTGAAAGCGTACGACGCATTGACCGTCTTTGTTGGATAGCTACCTAAAAGCCGCTGCGAGGATGACCAGAGTTCGCGTGATGGTTTATGCTCCTTGACGAGATCAGCAAGGTTTTGTGGTTCATTTGTTGCAAGCACTTTGTGTGTAATGAGTGCGACCTTAAAGGTTGCCGAGTGCATATCCACATTGCACCCATCCAGTCTGGCAGCGCTCCGCACCATATGTTGTTTTATCGCTTGATCCTATTAAGAGTTTTTTGTACGTAAATGTCGACAATGTTGCGAATGTGAAATTAGAAATTAACGCTTTTGTCTTGTGATCTAGAGGTTGCAAAATAGTAATTGTGTTGCACCCAGCTGCGTAACGATTCGACAGTGTTTTTTAGAAAACACCTTTGACAGATGTTAATTATTATTTTTTACATTTGGACAATTTTTCCCCTATTGGCTAACATTTGGAGTATTACTTCAAATGTTTCACAATGCTTCTGCCATTGGAACAGATGCACAATGCATTCATAAGCATTGTTGTTAATTTTAAACAGTGCGCGCGCACACCGAAAGTCACCTAACAATATGTACCTTCGGAAACAGTAAAGTTTTCACATATGTAGTGTTTAGAATATATTCGAGGTTATTATTGGTTAAATGTAATTTTATTGATAATATTTCATCTTTGGGTGGAGGGCAATGGCTTGGCCGTTCAGTGTGCTGCACTATCAATCCGCTGACTTGAGTTCTATTCCCGAGCGTGGCTCACGTAAGCGGTGGAGCGCGATAATTTAAGACCGGGAGCCCGATGATGCTGGATGCAATTACCAGCGAAACGTCGTACTCAAAATTGTAAATGTTGTGGTTTTACGCTTCAACACACCGGTGGGCTAAAGCAGTGAACTATTTGTCCTTTGTCAACGTGACACTTTTTTACTGATTGGTCGTGTCGGGTGGTGGAGGGTTACGACACATTTATAAATAACGCGATCTAAACCCAAAAACGTTGATAATGAATAATATTGTTCGCGAAAGCCTACGTGTTAAACCGAATTTAAACCGGTCCTGTGCCTCCGGCTTCCCAACCGCCACTGTGTAGCGTGGCGAAGTATGTTCAAGCACAGCCCCCTGCTGATTGACCGCATTCACAGGCTTCCATCCAGCAGTGGATTGACAAAGGTGGGCCTGTCATTTGTTTAAAGGGTTGGGTTATTTTTTTTTACTATGTTAATGGTGCTGAATAATATCGAGTTTCAGTTAGTAGCCAGTTATTATTTTGTAAAATATTAATTTGTTGTTTTTATTCCATATAGGAATGATATTTTTCGTATTTTGTGGATGGACATTGTTTGTCTTCATACTGTGTGTGGAATATTTATTGTTGAAGAGTGTTCAATTCCACTGCTTTGTAAAAAAAAATCATGGTTATTCGCAACGAGTTGCTGGACCGTTTTTTTGCCAACCTGAACAAAAACCTAGATATATATATTTTTATCTATTGTGCAGAAACTGATGAAAAAGTAAAATTCTACTGCTGGAGCATCAATACAAACTTGATAGTAATCGGATGGTAATGATTGTTGCCTGGTAACTGGCCTATTACTTTCTGCAAGAGGTAATTTTATCTCCAATGGGAGGAATAATAGCCACGTGTCTACAAAATGAACGTTTTCACTTGCACATCCCTTAATTTAGGATTCTGACTTTGGTCATGGAGCGGTAGACTTGCACTACCGAATGAGGAATCGGTAATAGAGGTTTCCCCAATTAGATGCTTTAGAAATATACATCCAATGTGTGTGTTTTATTTTTATTTTCCAAAGCAATCTTCTTTTTGTTAAACATACAAATGCACAGCGCACTCCCAAGGGCACAACTGGAGAAATATGCACACAAACACAAAAAACATACGTTTAGACAAATTGTGTCGTCAGTGTACATGTGAGATGAGAACGGAGGTGGCGCGAGCACACAAGTGGGTGGTGTTTGGTTGACAAAGGGGAGCCAGCTCCATTGCAAACTGTATGAAGAAGATGGAGCAAGTTAATAAAATAACATTATCTTAAGGCTGTCCAATTAACTAATTTAATCTGTGATCACATTTAGGTATTCAAAGGTAGAACCAAGGTAAACAAAAAACAGAACTGGGATCGCTGAATTTGGTAGAGATGAGTTGGGATATATACAAGCAACTTAATGTGAGGCTCACTTGAAAAGCGTCAACGTTGTGTGCTTGTCTCAGAAAACTGAACTCGTGTTGTGCTGGAGCGGTAATTGCTGTGTTAAATAACAACGCTCTTAGTTCCCTTGAAAAAATATGTTATCAAAACCCTTTGTTGGCCCTCATTTCAGAGCCATTTCTCAACTTTTTAAATTGTTACATTATAATTTTTTATTCCAATGTACTCTTAGCGCTGTTAACATTTTGTGTGTAATATTGCATTCAATTTTCTGTTTACTTAAATCAGTTATTTATGTCATTCTATTTTACCGCTTCTTTATAGGTGATTTTCATTTCTCTTATGTTGGTAATGCATGTTTTCTATCAAATTGACTCGTTAATATATCATTTAAATGGGCACTACATTTCTAAATGTAAAATTGTGTGTCACTTTTGTTGTATTGTTTTGCTGTTGGAATGCACTTGTATTAAATTGAACACATTTATCAGTAACATATGTAAGAGGCTGATTCAGGCAATCTTCATAGAAGGGTCATTGCCCAAACCATTCCCTATTATATATTTAGTGTTTTTTTTCCCTTTTAGGAACAATGTTATTGACAGATGTATTGTTGGTTATTTGTGCTTATGCGCCATCGTCAAATGCAAGAAGCGCGAGAAAAAAGTGGTTGTATTAAATGTGTTATATTTTACATTTTAGTGACCCGGGTTTTTTTTTTCTCTTGAGAAAGAGATGTTGGGGTCTTAATTGGCTCTCACCTTATTATACTTAAAGGTCCTCTGTCTATAAAAACGCTTACAATTGCAGGATTGAAATGTTATAAATAGTGTCATGTTCAGTTTCTCTTGCTTGCAAAGTCGGATTTCTTTCCACAGGGGTCACTTTTTTGGAAATTATATTTACAAGAAAACTACTTTATTTTAGCTTGCTTTAGAATTATTGTAAAAAAAATGTGTATTGAATTCTCATCACTGTTATTAAATCCAAATACAAAGTGTTCACATATTTTAGATGCATCTAGTAATTAAATGGCAGAAGTGATATTGGTCATTCAATCATTGATACATGATAGGTGCTTGTGCATGAATGAAGAAATAATTGCCAGTGTATGTTTTAACTACTGACAATAATGTTTTTTCCCACTACTAAACATTAGCTTAAGCGGAGTTCATAGTTGTTGACGCAATCAGGCTTACACTTTCAGCTTCTTTTTTAGAACGAGATTTTCACTTTGAAATTGCATTTACATCTTGTAAAAAATAGTTTACTTCCACTTAAAATTAAGTCCGGATAGTTGTCAAAAAGCACATGTTTCAGCGTACTGCAATGGGCAATGCAATTTGTATATGCATAATAAACAGGCTAGCTATTATAAGTCGATTAGCCATTACAAAGGACTTAATTTTTTTTTCAGGCAGTGAGTGACATTGAGCATACACATGCGGTGGGTGAGAGTCCGCATACTCAGGCAGTCAGTGACGGCCGCATACCCAGGCAGTGAGTGACAGAATACACGGGGCAGTGAGTGACAGTCAACACACCCAGGCAGTGGGTGACAGCATACACATGCATTGAGTGACAGTCAGTGCGTGGCAGTGTACACAGGTAGTGGCTGAATATTACAATTGATTGTGCATAAGAACGAGTTGAGGATTGCTCGGTAATGGGCTACCGAATAAACTGAACACACGAATTTGTACACGACCACTCAGGAAAACAACACTTCACTCGTGGCACACAATAATTGCACGCAAGTTGGGTGGTGTGAACTAAAATCTAAGCCATATCATGGATTTGAGAAGGCTGTTAATACAATTTTTTTTATTTAGCGGTTTTATAACCCTTATTGGACGCGTATTGTGTTCTAAATTTGACATTTTCACGGACATGTCTACAAGGCGGCTTTCAGCACTTTACACTCCTTGTTTTTAAGGTGTTGCATTTTATCAAATTGGATTTAGACTTTACACTTTGCAGCGATGATATGCTGTAAAAAACAGCTCCTAATACCGAATGCTCTGGTTGGTTGGGCAGTAGTAATATTAACTAATTGGATACAAATATTAAGTATAATTACTTAGTTACATAGAAATATTCAAAAGATAATTACGAGCAATGTTTATCATCTGTGGATAATATACATCATCAAGTAATAGCGGTTCTTGCTGAATTTTTCCACTGAATATCGTTAAATCATAGCAGCGGAAATTCCACATTCCTTTGTTCTGGTTTGCGAGTTATCCTAAAGCGATATTTAAAATGTTGACGTATTTTGTGCGGTTTCCTTTGTACACAATCGAGTACTCAACACCAAGTGTATGCTTTGAAGGCTGGGTAATCTGGCATAGATACAAGGGTATCATATTTCATGCCAGCTTGTTTATGATGCCGACATCGACGGATGTATTTTGCAAATTAAACCGCATACCATTTCTTGTTTTCCACTTTCCCAAGACCTCAACTTTAATCCACCCTTTGCAATGAATGTAATTTTACATGTATTTCTCAGTAAAATATTAGTTATTTAAATGACTCCGACCACTATTCCAAGGCAAAGTTATGGAACTGTATGATTACGTCTTCAAAGTTTTCTTTAGAACATGACTTTGCTCAGTAGGCCTTCATCTGTCCTGATTACATCTTGCTCACAAGAAAGCAATATTCTCTGCTCGACAGATGCCAGTGTTGGGATATACAGTCACATGAGAGCTCATACCATTCCCTTCCTTGCAATTTCTTTTTTGGTGAACTTTATGACTCCAGACACCAGGCTGCTAGTAGATACTATAGCATGTCAAAATTTAATGTTTATGGTCTCATTCTGGTATCTTTCTTTTATCTTCTGCCTCTTCAAGCACCTTTCGTCCTTGCCTATAGACATGGCAGCAGTTTCCAAGCCCTCTCTGCCCGTTAAAGTAGACAACGCTTGTTAAAACTATTCCTTTCTCCTTATGAAACTAACGTAAAACAATAATAATTGACGTAAAAATATGCACCTCGGTAAAATCATTTGAGCACCATCAGCTGTAATTCATCCACTGATAGATGAACACGTACCAGAGTAATTGCCATCTCTCACGGTCTCACATTGCAACAATCCAATTTCGCTCCCGTACTTGAGATGTTCTCGTTGCTCCATCTCCATGGTGGTTATTCCCACGTTCCCTTCTTTGACTGCCACTTTGTAATTTCTCTTGACTACTGGCCATCATCCCTTTTAGTGGCATGTCCTGCCCAAGCCCACTTATATTTCTTAACAATCGGCACGATGTGTTCCTCTTTCTTGTGTCTCATTGTAATTCCAACCGTGTAACTCTTCATGCACCGTTGCATACTTTACAGCGTTTGTTGCATTTTTACTCCCATGTCTATGATTCTGATCCATATGTCATAGCGAGTAATTTTCACCGAATAAAAACGGTTGTTCTTTCACCACATTGGTGGAATCATTTGATTTCAAATATTGTTTTATGTCTTGCCTAAATTATAATATTCCGTTTCAGTTATTGATCTGCATTACAAACAGCCGAAGGATTGAAATGTCTCACTTTTAATGAATAAGTGGAAATAACTTTCCTTATGAAGCCAAAAGTAAGCTTAATAGTTTTTCAGCAATAGACACATTTTTAAGTTATTAATTTTCCAATGTGACCATGTTGGACACGCTTTGGCGATGGTTGCTATGAGTTTTTGAAGCAGACATTTCTACATGCGAAGCTGTGACCATGTGTCTTGGGGTCGCAGCTTCATCATCTGCCTGTTGTCTTCAGTCTAGCACAAGGAGACGCTAATTTTTAGTGGTGAAAAAACGGAATTTGGGAGGTACTCAAAGGTTTAATTTTATTTTAGACAAATGTACTGAATTTCATATCACTTTTTTAAGCCGTATAATGAAGTTTATCGTAGCCTGAGAGTTGCTTTTAAATTTTAATATATATTTTTTAATACACACAATAAAGCTACTTCATGATTTTACATTCTGAACTTAACATTTTTCAAATTTTAAAATTTCTGGTTCAACATTCTTATTTTTCCACATAAGCGTTTTTGGATCTATAATTCACGTGTAGGGTCTTTATTTGCTGAGTTCTGTAGTTTTTTTTCTTCACACAGTTTCTTGTCTTTTTTTGGTTGCATTTGTCCTTGTGACATTTGGAAAAAAAAAAGTGAAAAAAAAAATCCTACCGTTTCTTTGATTCCATGTTGTCCTGTCAGTGCCGATAATTTTTTCCTGTCACTCACAATCTCTTTGCATCGCCGCGCTCTCCCTACCCGTCCGTGCGTTAGGTGGCTGTCCACTTGTTTTAGCCCCTGCCCTCCAGAGTGTTTTTTGTTGCACGTCTCACCCTTATTGCCCCTGCCCGTGTGCATGTGTCTGCCCAGAATTGCCAAGGAACAGAAGCGTCGCATCTGGAAGGATTACGTGGCACCAACGGCCAATTTGGACTCCAAGGACAAGCAGTTTACGGCCAAGGTGCGGACGCACCAATCGCTGTTGTGGTTAGCAGCTGGGTTAATCGATGAAAGCAATGCCTGCTGAATGTTCAGCCTGGTGACATCCAATCATAAAAAAGTGACTCTGATAATTGAATTTTTACAGTGCCCAAAAGCAGGTGCATGTGAAAAATGGGTGCAAAAATAGTTCTTGAAAATTTAAGAGCATTTTCATATTGTTATTGTAAAAGCGGCATGCTTGTTAATTTAATGCCCGCCAAGTTATACAATTTCCTTGTGTGTTGCCTTTTGTTAATTCTCTTGATTGTTCAGTAGTTGTTAAAACACATTGGGGTGCAATATTCATTTGAATAGTGAAAGAGTGCAAAAATGAAATTTAAACCTCAACATATAGTTTACCTTTACAGTGGAGGATGTCCTTGGCTGGGTACATATTGAATGGACAAAAATTTCAGCCCCCGAAAAAAGTGGGTATTCTATCAAATCGGCAGTGGCAGGTTTGCCACAGCAATCTATCATTGTGACGCTTCAGCTCCACTGTGGCAAGTATAAATGAATGAGACTGCACCATGTCAACTTAACTTAATTTGACTATGCAGACCAATGTTCTTAAATTACCCAATCTTATTTATTTACCTAAATGCATTCACGAGACACTGTCCTGACTAGTTGAAGCTGCATTTTAAGCCAGTTTCACAGCCAACTACATTTTCCAAAAAGTGTTACCACTCTGCTCTGTGAGAATTTAAATACATATTTTGGTGTTAAAACAAGTTACACGTTTTAACAATTTTTAACTGTTCTTTTGCCATTTAACGAGTGGAAATGATTATCAGCAAGTATACTTTCCAGTGAATTCTCGATGCAACTAATTGAATTGTGAACTTAGGTTATTAATTTATAACACCGATGCATGTGCCAGTTCAGCCTGATACTGTTTGCTGCTAAGGCACACGCTTAGAGTAAAGATTTTCAACAGCTTTCGAATTGCATTTTAAAATTAAAGAATATGCTTTGGCTTGATACTTTCTCTCTCGTAAATGTAATGACTCCTACTAATGTAGCGTTATTTAATGCGGGGAGATTATCACGTGGTGCTTCAGGATGAGCCAAAATGCAAGTTGCTTTAGCTGCATTAAAGTATAATTTTAAAAAGTGTGATTAACACCTCTTGTATACAGTTCCTTTTCTTTGGCATACGGATTGCATTCTATTCTGATAAATGGTTCTCAGGAGGGCCCCTATTCTGTAGTTGCCTGCTGTGGATGGTGGCGTGCTTTATTGTGCTTGCGTGGTGCATCCTGGTGAATGTATTGTGATGCCATGAAACCGAAACAATCGCTAACTGATGTACCCCAACGCTCTTTTGGCTTTTTGTGCAGGTGGTGCAAATCCTAAATGCGGATGCCATTGTGGTGAAGACCAATGCGGCCGAGTTCAAGACGATCCACCTCTCGAGCATTCGTCCGCCCAGGATGGAGGAAGGAGGAGGGCAGGTGAGGAGGCCCTGCGTGTGATGGGTGTTAGAAGCATTTTGACCCGCAACTGCAGTTGGCCCTTGACACAGCCCCTGCCATGCGATTTGAAATGGACTCTGATCTTTGCTACTGAGATAATATGACACGCGTGAAAGTACCTTCTTGTTTGACCATTAGATTTCACTTGGAAGTAAATACGGTCAATTAAATGTTTCAAAAAGCATATACATACACACATACGCATGTGCATCAAGTACGTTTATGTAAATATTTACAAATCCCCTGGAATCCTGCGTTTGTATAATGGTCATAACACTGATCCTACAATGTAGAGGCCACAAGTTATATATCCCAGAGCCCAGTCGAAACAATCGGCAAATTCCTTCAATCTTCCTGATTATTTTCACCCAACAGAAGTATAAATGCATCCCCTACAGTCGATTGGCATGTCAGGTGTGGTCAGGTAAATTATGGGTAACCCCACATTTCCAAAGATGTGTGGCTAGTGTGGAAGAGGAGGCCAAAATACACTTGGGGGTGGGGGGGCTTTAGAACTTTCTCAAGAGGAGGTTCATCTGTCAGCAGTGGTGTGAGCAAGCAATAAGCAAGCAATTGCAGGGCTGCTCCTACATATCTCCTTTTACAAAAGTTGTGCGCTGCTGGTGAGAGCGCTGTTCGCGAGCAGCTCGTTTTGGTTTGGCATGGTGCATTGGGGGAGGGGCTGCATTAGTTTCCAGTGGTGCGGACGTTGGCGCACGGTACCAAAGGTACTCCATTACAAAATAAGCAGAGTCGATTTGGTAGAAGCCAATCCGAACGTAAACGCTCGGTGATCGCAGGACAGTGGCACTCGGCACAGCGGGCTACTCCCGCACGCCGTCCGTCACGCGCGCCTATGAACCCAGCACTCACCAGACATCCCGCATCTCTGCTGTGCCTGGACAGCTTTGCTTGTGTGTGTGTGTGTGCACTTTCAAAAATGGGGAATATTCTTTGGAGCAAGAGAGTGCTGTTACGCGCAGATTCCGTTATCTATCATGATGAACTCTCCAGCTGCTCGTGCGGGGGCATCGGTGTGTGTGGTGATAGTGATGTGGCGTGATGAGGTATGAGACACCGCTGGGTAAAGCATGGTTTGTTTGGGTTTAGTACATTATCCTGTTATATATCTACTGTGCGGAAGCAGTGCATGCATTGCACTGTGAGGCCTGTCAACCTGAGTTTGTATTCTGCCCACGGCTAATGTACCATACTTTACCATTTGGTCAGTGCGGTTTAAGTAGAGATGCGGGGGCTTAGAAGTATGGCACAAAAATGCATTTTACAGTCAGAACGTTGCTCTTGCAGCCCTATGGAAACATGTTTGTGCATGGTGGTCATCCAAGTAAATACTAACCAGGCTGAAACGTGCTTTCGTTTTTGAGATCTGATGAGATCGGTGATTTGGTCATATTCTTAATGAATGTGCCAGTCTGGTACATTGTCTCCAGTCGTAAGTAATTTGTGTGGCAAATGGGGCACAGCACAGTGCGCATTATTTATGGACGAGTATTTTTATTGTTGTTTTAAACACTTATTCATAATTGTAGCCTGATTTTATAAAAATGTGCAAAAGGGATTTCGGTTGAGTTTGTGTTAAACTAGCTGCACGCTTGTCCTTCGGATGTGACTCTCCATCCGTACTTCCCTCACACGCATCCCCCCAACTCCCCCAACCCGCACTTCCCCTCGCTGCCCCCCACCACACCCCCCTCCCCCACCGCGCCCCCCCCCCCAACTCGCATTAGCCACTGCAGGGAAATCAAAGTTAGGACGTTGGGTTCATAGCGCAGTGTACTGACCACTGAACCAGTGATTTAACCCCCCCCCGCGCCCCCCCCTTCCCCCACATCAGTTCTTTGCCCCCCAAATTGGTGATCCAGGTACAAACTAATCTTCTTTGGCACGACTGACTAATGACTTGTAAAGGGGCCACTGCTGACTCGAGGTGTCATGCCCTGATGACTTGAGGCTTTTGTAAAGTTAACCACGTCACAAAGCCGTGTCATATGTTTCGTAGTGGACAATCCATTGGAATTTAAGCCACTTGGTGCAAAACAGTTAAAATTTAAAAATTCTGAGTAATATATAATGCATTTTTCCCCCATTGTTGCCACTGCAGCTTCACTGAAGCCTTCTGAAGCCTTTTTGGCATCAACCGCTTCACGTTTTCCACCGTCACGGTTCCGCTTGACTTGAGTGCAAATGCTCGGGGCAGCCGACTTGCTGAATTACGGCATTAAATTCGGCAAATCATCAGGTGTTCCGCTAACGATGAAAGAAAATTGTTTTTTTTTGTATGGCTGCATTGTACAGAGCTGAATAAGAGGCATTAACTGATTTTATTTTCACTCATGTTGATGGAGGTGATTAAAATTTTTGCTTCAAAATGTCTGACTCTTCAAGAGTTTAAGTTATTTATAAAAATTTGTTTAAGTGACTTTAAACAAAATGTCAGTGTAAAGTGTATGTGGTTATTATCGGCAATAATAAATCTTGTTTTAAAATGTAGCATTGCACTAAATAAATTTTTTGTTAATTTTGCTTTTATTACAATTTTTTTAATACAGTAGGAAAAATATTGATAATTTATTATACCTTAATATTGGAATCGTTACTTTTCTGTGTGAAATACCAACATTTTATTTTTTTGCACTGTTTATCGAGGATATGCGTATATGTGTCACTGTAATTGTATCTGATGGCACTTGCAAAGCTTTTAGCAAATTTTTGTTCAAAGATTGTTCAATAGCATTGGCAGTTTTTCGTGTCATTCGGAATTGACGTTTTTGGCCACTTGTGCATTGTTTTAGCAGACAACAACATAATGGTGCATTTTGGCAACCAGATCACACCTGTGTGATCACTTACTACTCAGCTCAAAGACTGAGTGCCTGACATTAAAGTTCAGTGAATTGTTAAGCGAATACGGAGCACATCTGACAGTAAGATTGTGTACGCTATTTGAAAGCTCTTCTTGTGCCAGTTGTCATTCTCGAGTGTATTGCAAATTCATGCTAATGTGCCTCGATCAGATTAGTAATTGTCAGAATTATATTCTGTAAATTGACATTGTACACAAACTGCATGTCCACAGTCAGCCTGTATGTGTATGATGAATGGTCTCATTTTGTAATAAATAAATAGAGACATTTTTTTTTGCATGTGTGTGATTGTTAATACAGGACAAGAACAGAAGGCTACGTCCTCTGTATGACATTCCTTACATGTTTGAAGCTCGAGAATTTCTCCGGAAGAAGCTCATTGGAAAGAAGGCAAGTGTCTGCTACATTTCTTGCATACTAATGTACTGAGCAGAGGTACCGTGTGTTCCTGTGCGTAGTGCGCCATTACGTATACTGCATACTTGTACATGAACACAGCAATCATTTTGAACTCACAGTCATTGTGCGATCTGTGGGGGGGGGGGGAAGAAGCAGCTTTTTTACATTTATATATACATAGCTATATGGGCTCACAATTGTACAAGCCATGGTTTTATTCTGGGGCAAGGTAGCTGTCATGTAGGACACATTATTTTCAGCAGATGTTATGTCTGTGCAATCAGCACCAGCTGCAAGTCAGTTGGTGAATTGCATTGGGTTGGATACACCACCTATCACGACTGGCCAGTGTAAAAGCGTGAATCAATTTCAGATTTATTCTGGCAAGAAGAGCTGTGTGTGCAGCTCTGAACATTGCCTGTTTTACTTGTACAAAATACCGCCACGGTCTCACGTTATTTCCGATGAGGTTGATCCAATTGATATATAATAAAAACATTATTTTGTCGCCTCTCATCCTGCTCGGAATATTTTTTTGTAGGTTGTATTTTTACTCGGTCAGAGCTCCATTTTGGTGGCTTAACAACAGACTGCTCTTATGTCATGGGGACTACTGCAATAGTGTCAAGTCAGTAGCGGATTGGGGTTCTCAGTCCTTGCGTGTTTTGCTGCTCGTTTGGCATGATGAGGCCGTGTTTTGCTCATGGTTTACTTCGGCACTACCGTTTGTTGTGCCATCCCCTGAAACACACTAATTTTAACAGAGCACGTCTAAATTATTTACTCTGCGCACACCGTTATGGGTTGTTAATATTCACAAGACTTTGGCGCACCGAATTAGTAAATCCCATACGGCAATATATCCCCACCTTAGATACGTTCTTGCACTGCAGTACTTGCAGATGCAGCTATATATATATATATATGCACAGGTAAATTGCACCATACTGTGCAACATGCACGGTCAGAATGACAGCTTTGTATTTTTGTCGTAAAGTATAATCACGTACAGGCATGCTTGGCCACACTTTTTCCCGCGAAAGTTCTACTTTTTTGCACACAAGATTAGAGTACTCGCTGCTTAAAGTACATTGTTTGGAATGGACGGGGGTATAACGTGTGTCGTGGAGGCTGATATCGAGAACAAGAGATGCAGCTCAGCATGGCCCTGTGCCATCCATCAACACTGCTGAAGACCAGCTGGGAGTTGGCAGGGGGCCACCATAACAAACGTTTCTCCTACTCAAGTCTGGCCTCTTCTAATTATATTCTGGTGCAATCAGCACTTTAAAAAGAGAACTGGCATTAGCGGTGGTGCAGTAAATGAGGCTGCTACTTTTAGGCCTTTAAAAAAAAGAAGAAGATATTTGTGCGTTTTAGATGTCTTGCGAAAGAATAGAAAAAGTACATGTACATACATGTGCAATATAGTTGCTGCTACTGCTGCGTTATCAATTAGTCTCAAATTAGTTCCGGAATAGTATCAACAGGATTCGTTTTGCCTTGGATTAAAATTATCATACCTTGCAAGATAAGGTGAGAAAAATATTGACTCTTTCCTTCCTTCCACAAGAAAAAAAATTATGACCTTTAGCTAATGCCTAAAGTAATTATATATGTATGATTCAAAATATTACATATCAATATTTGATTCTATAATAAGCCATTTCAGATTCTTTGCTCGTATTTAAAAAAAAAATTCAAAGCAGAATTGGCTAGATATGGCAGGACAGAAATTGAGTTTGTGACCTGTGTGCGTTGGTCCGAAAGTTAAGTACCCTTTGAGTTATATTCTTGTGTTCGTGGGCTTTCTGCGAGTGCCTTGTGTTTTCTTCGTAAAAACAACTTGTTAAAGGGAGCTTGTTAAATGTCACAATGCAGCACTTCTGAAGACATTGTCTTGAGACTCTTGGTGAGGCTTTCCGGGGTAAATAAACATTACGTACAGTATGTGTACAGTTTAATCGAGGTTTTTTGGTCAGATTGTGTAAATATAAATGTGTTGTTAAACCCACCACCACCCGACACAGCCAATTAATAAGGTTTGTTACCCACAACATTTACATTGACAATTCGAGTACGACATTTCGCCAGGAATTACAAACTAGTAATTACAACTAGCATCATCAGGCGGACAGACTGAGCAGACTACAGGTATTGCGATTTCTTGTACCCAAAAAACGGCAGGATGTACAGGCATGGCGTGCATGCATTATTGAAGTTGATTACCCTATGAAGAACCCAACCGGTAATGGATGTCCATTGTAATACGTTAACCCTCCCCCTGGCCTTCGCACCTTATTGGCTCACAAGTGATGACATCACATTTATCCTCTCTATTTAAGACCGAAGCAAGAGGATTTCTCTACAGCTCTGACTGTCCGCCTTCGTGATGCTAGTTGTAATTACTGGCGAAATGTCGTACTCGATTGTAAATGTTGTGGGTTTGCACACCAACACACCGGTGTGCTGAACTCGTAACGAATTGGCACGTTTTGTTTACGTGAACAAACCTTACTAATTGGCTGTGTCAGGTGGTGGCAGGTTTAACGACACATTTATATTTGTACGATCTAACCCAAAAAAAAAAACTATTATGGAGTGTCTACAGTACGCATACAGCATATCATAACACCCCCCCCAAAAAACCACCCCACATCCATTTTTCAGATGGTGAGATAACATTGGTCGTTTTTGTCACCTTGGTTTGTTTCATTGTTGTAGCCTTTGCTGCGAGGCCCATTTTGGTTGCCAACCTTGCTAACAAGGTGATTGACCAATAAATGAACTTTCTTTGAAGAACCTTTCTGCTGCCATGACATTTCCCCCCCAAAGTGCAGACTCAACTCATCAGGGCGGAGGGAGATGTCAAATGAAAATAGCTATATGCGCAATGCAAGAAAATTAATCTCGCTCAAAATGAAACGGCACAACTTTGGCAGGCAGATGGGGAGCAAGGATGGTGAGCTGTCTGGCAGGTATATTAACTAGGCTAGCCGTAACTCTATTTGTATAATTTATGTATGCACTATATTTCACTCAAACTAAAATTACTCTAAAATATCGTATATAAGCATTCAGAGCTGGTGTTTGCATTATCCTTTTTATACTACAATATTCCCAAGCTAACATTGTTATTGCTGAAAGTTGCTGTTAGTTAATGCATCCAGATGTTAGGAAGTGATAAGCTATCGGGCTAAAATTGAGTTTAAAATGGAGGTTGGACCAGGGATGCCATTTTTGAGGCCTCGCAATAAAGAAAGAGCTTAAAGCCTGATCTTGGTGAATTTTAAAATTGCTTTTCTGTAAATGTTACGCAATTCACATCTTATGTTCATACACCTCCGGCGTAAATAAGTGGATGTAGTTTTATCTTACAGTTTCAATGTTTTTAAAACGAGTGTGCCAAGCTGCAGAAGAAGTAAGCATTCTTTCATACGACAAATAATGAGTAAAAAAATAGTTTTGTTGTTCCAGTCTTGAAATAAATAGTTGTTTGCTGTGCTTCCCTGGGTTAATGTACGCATAGTGTGACATCAGAGTGCCAGGTGGGTTTGTTGTTACTATGGGCTATGTCGCCTGCCGTGTATTTCCACGCACCAAAGCCCAAGCAAGGCACAAACAGTTGGCGTAATTGAGTATTGATGGCCTGATGATTGAGATTGACGTACAGTCGTTTTTCTTTCACGTCTATCAATATCATATAAATAAAAAAGGCAAAATTCCCAGTCTTGTTTAATGATAACATTAATATGAAATACAGCTTAAGGTATCGGTGCATAATTATGCCTAAAGTGCTCTTGGCATATCAAAATACTGAGTTTGTGACTGACCAGTGAAAGAATGGCAGTGTAATATACCGAACATTGAAACATTCATCGTTTGATTATGATTCAGCGTTTTTTCGTGCTGCTCTGTACACAGAAAATCTTGAAAATTAAAGAGATGAAATCGTACGTCCTGACACAGGTTTCAATTTGCATAAAAAAAACCTTGATAAAACACCTAAACGATTTGTCAATTTTAATGTGCTTATGCCATACAGATTATACGGAAACATAAATATTGTGGCCTTAGAGTTATTAAGTGACCTTTGATTGTGCGATGTGATAAATATACACATTGACACTGCAAAAATTAATTCTGTGATCCAGTGTATAAAATTGTTTGGCCAAGGAGAATATTTTTCAGCAGCCGTGTTAGTGTAGCAATGGTGTCACTGGGATTGTGTGCATAAAGAAGAACAATAATCTTGAATTAATACATTATACAGACACGGACTGCATACGGATGCGGGGAAGCCACTAGCATTTTAAAAAGGCAATGGAGATATTGCATGGAATGTATAATTAATGAATGGGTATTGAAATGATTGGTTGTTTTTTTGGTACTTATGAATAGACCAAATGGGAATTGTGTGAAGCAACACGCATGGTTGTTTAGTCATCATGCTAATACATTTTTTATTGTATAAGAAAAGGAAGATGATATATTTATGTATATTTTTTCTAGTTACAAAATGTTCCGCGCACAGTGTAGATAAAGCCCTCAAAACACATTTAGTGTTTGTTGTTTGCGTTTAATTTTTCTGTGTAATTGCCTATCTTCTGGGCGCACTCGTCCCATCTGTAGGTCAATCTGTGGGCCGAGTGAAAATAATTTATTTTGGTAATGTTAGACATTTTTCGAGACAGCTGTCTGAAGGTCATTAAAATTCTCCGTTTGGGAAGGTGCCGAAATAGTAAGTTGCATGGAGGTAGGTAGCCGGTTTGGGAAATGTATTTATGATTAATTCTTCCATTTGTGTATGAATATTTATGATGATTATAATCGCATGAAATCCTGGTCATATGCGCTATTATCAGCAAACATTTGAGGTTATAATACTCCTGTGGAATACATTTAGACTCTCTTTTGTGCTCATTGTGTAAAAGTCCATGTCATTTGAATTAATATGCTTTGAAAAAAATACTTTGAGCAAAAAGTCACGTGCTCAGTCTCATGTGTAATGTAATAAAATTAAAAGACTTTAAGCAACGAAAAAATGCAACAGTTCATTATCGAGCGATTCAGCTCGAGAAGCAAAAAAGGAGCCCTGAGCATGGCTCCTAAGTACGTACGTCGCCCGCTCTGCTGGATCCGGGCCTCCCAATGCCACGCGGGTCTTTGGGATTATTTGGCAAAACTATATTGGAGACGTTTAGGAAATTAACAAACTGAATAACACTGAACAATTCCTTAAACAAGTTGCACATTATTGCAGCCTACTAAACAGAGTAAAAAAAAATGTACACATTTTATGTAATATAAAAGTTGACGTAATTTGTGTATGTGAGAACGTTTTAATGGATTGTTGTCTGCCTTAGTCACGATATTGGAAGAGATGTACGTGCCCTCTTGGACCTTATAAAGTACACATTTTTTAATATTGTTTGGTTTATTTTACACGAGCGTTGAGAATATTTGACCATGAACCCACGTTTATGATGCAATCGCAGCACTTACGAGCAGTGGCCGCGCAGTGGTGCCTTGGCTAGTGCATTGTGCAATAAAACCAGTGACCTGAGTTCTCTTCTCGGCCTTGGCTAACATCAGTGGTGAGTGAGATTTGAACTGGTTCTGAAGCCCTCTCCCTTCACCAACGCGCATTGACCGGTGTGGCAAAGCGTGGTTCACAGCCCCCAATGACAAATACGGAAAAGGATGTCTTTATCCAGCAGTGAATTAACAAAGGGTTGAAAATGCTTCTTAATATTGATGCGTTTGTAATGCATGCACCAAGAGCTGTTGGCAACATTTTGTAGAATACGTCAAGTGATGAGACTAATTCAATGATGCCAAGAAGAGCGTGTATTTGTGCTTATGTTGGACAGGTGTCCGACGCTCCTGACGGACACAAACTTGAATTGCACATTTAAACAAAACACTTAATTCCAGAACATATCTATGGGTGTACGTAGGTTTGGGTCTGTGAAAATTGAAATGTTGGTCCTGTAGATGTTCATGGCAATTTGAAATTCTACAAGGTCAGTGCTAGGAGGCTTTTATGTGGAGCCCTTTTGGGTTGCTTGTAAACATGCATTTGTGCACAGACAGTCCTCTTCCACCCATCTTTTAGCCCAAACGTCACACCAATGGATTTTCATTTCTCTCCCCAAACTGAAGGACAACCGCTAAGGACAATATTTTCAGAGTAAAAATGACCTTTAAAGGCTTTCCCAGCGTTCTGACAGCACCGAGAGGAACTATTTTCATCAGGAATCCACAGCATTCTGCTAGCTATACAACGATTCATCCTGAAAAAGGAAGAGATTACATCAAGAAATTACATTTACATGACCCATGGGATGTGTCTGTTGTTATTTACACTGGTGCAGGGATGCATCGAACCACAGTGAAACTTTATTGAATTGTCCAGTGTAAATCACTTGTCTGTATTACAATGAAAAACTATTGTGAAATAAAGTGGGACACAGAAACACTTGGACAATTGCGCTCCACAGTAGCACCTGCAAAAATAATACGTTATTGCATGTGGGTGGACTATCTTTCTCGGTTATCGAAAGTAGCCTGCCCAGAATGTTCTGCACAAACACATTTTTATGAACTGTGCTCTACTTTCTGCTGTGGCCGCTGTGGGCTGCTGCTGCTGTTGCTGCGTGCGTGCGTAGGTGAACATTTCCGTGGACTACATTCGGGCTGCGTCGGCTGCCACGGACTCCACGCCAGCCTTCACCGAGCGGACGTGCGCCACCATTACAATCGGCGGAGTGTAAGTTGGGGACCTGGGATCCAATTCTCTTTGCAGCCGTCGGCTGCGCTCCAGCGCAAGTCCTGCGTTGGGGACCTCGTGCTGCGTCGCACGCGAACTGTGAACGCGGCGTTGGCTCTTCTCTGCGGCCCTTTCCCTGTGCGAGATAATTAAGTATGGTGACACTGCTCTTTAAGGATCATTCAGGATTTATGCGGTCAGCTGGATGTTAACTTCAATTTAGCTCTGACCTTCAGCTTTAGAAACACGGATGTGCGCTAATTTGATAAACCCTGTTGTTTTCTCAGCCACCATTTGAGGCCAACGATCCTTCTTCATGTAATATAAATGAGCAATCCTTCGCTAACTTTGTTTTGAAAGGCGTGTTACAGGCAACAGCTCTGGCGAGCATCTTGGGCTGGAAGCCGACACGGGTAAAAGTTTTTGCCAAAAATTGACAAAGATCGGCATTTTCCGTGCCTCGAGCCAGGCATCATCAACATCATCATCGTTGTAAACAACAACAACAACTGCCTCAACATGCACTGCCAATTATTGAGCAACAATGATGTGGAAGTATTTTGCTCCCTAAAAGAGATATATTTCTGTATTAAATTGCTCACTTGAAATTATAAATTATTCTCATGTCGGCAACACTTCCCCACCCCCCCTCCCCAGACCGCCCCCCCCCCCTCACTTTTATATTGTGCACAGCAACACAGCTCTAGGCCACTACGCCCCTTTATGTTGGAATTTGCCTTGACCATTCCCAGCACCTGTGATAAAGTGTCTACGATGGAGTGCGAGTGCTCGCACAGACCGATGGTCATAGGCACCCTCCCGACAATGACTCCGTTGTGTCGTCGTTCCCCCCTTCCACCCACCCTTGTGCAGTGTTGGTTTTTAAATCCCTCACACGGTGGTCCATGAAAGTCAGCCCCAACCTGCTTTTGCTTCTGCCGCCGGGAGCAAGATGGGTTCTTGGCTATTGCGATGGCTGCAGCATTCTAAAATTGTTGGCTCTTTTATTTAGCGGTGTAGATTTAGTAATTGCATGTTCCCGTTGGAGATGTGCGTGTGCGGATTAAACCGGCCGTCCTGTACCTTTTGATCACCCCACAGCGCTCGTTTCTCTCAATTATTGTGGAATATTCAAAGTGGGACCTAATATATTTTTAAAGAATTGATTCAAGAGAGAAAGTTGGAACTCATAAATAGACTAATTTATCTTTTGGCAGTAGATCTAATCTAAGATTTTGGTGCAGGTGGGTTCCCTTGAATGTTTCTTCTTGCATGTTAAAACGTTGTGGGAGTATTTGGCAAGGCAATGCGCTGGGTAGATTTCTCTTGAAACGTTTCCCCAAGGCTTTAGTTTTCTGTCCAAGATGCGCGGCTTCTGGGGCTTCTGGTTGCTTACATTAGGAATGCATCGGCCAGGCTCTGCTCTCCAGAGGAGGCTGTGGGTAATATTGAGCTGCTACGTGTATGGGGGGGGGGGGGGGAAAGGAGTGTGTTTGCTATGTATCAATCATACGCATGATTGGGCTGTGGCTGTGCAAATGCATTGCCACGTGAAGAAATTTGCCGACATCAGCTCGGTGTGTACCAGCGATGCTTTTGACCCCCAGTGCCGCCCTGTTGATGGCTTCATATTTCTGCCTAATTAAAAGTGCGGAAAGCTGAGCGCGCCGTTGCATTTGCCAAGAAATTATCACGTATTATATTCATCGCGTAAACCGGCAAATAAATGGTGTTATTTTTAAAGTGCTTAATGCTGCACAGAGATGTATATCTATTAAAGCATTACAAGCATTTGTATTACATTTCAATCTGATGGATACACTGTTCAGAATTTAAATATTTAGTTATTTGGAGGGGTTGGCTTTCAGCTTAGTATTTGTCTTTAAGAGCAGATTTTGTTTTTCATTTTTGGTCACGCTCACATGTACGTATGTGAAACTTCTTTCGAATGGCATGTAGCCAACTACGCAAAACGAACGTGTGGGATGAAGGACAACAAACTAGACATAAAAGTCAGTTCTAAATAAATGAGTTTTCAATCGAAATTTCAAAGTGCATATAGCTCCCAGTGGCTTCCGAATATGAGAGAGAAGACGAAACACAGGTATCCATAATAGAGCTTCTTTTGTGTTAGATTGTGAAAATATATAAATGTGTCATTAAACTCACCACCACCTGACACAGCCAATTAGTAAGGTTTGCCTCGTAAGCGGAAGATGCCAATTAATTACTAGTTCAGCACACCGGTGTGTTGGAGAGTAAGCCCACAACATTTACAATTCCAGTACGACGTTTTGCCGGAAATTGCAACCAGGCATATTTGGCGATTATCCACAATTGATCTAACCCAACACAAAACCTGTTATGGATAATATCGGTCGCGAAAGCCTTCCACGTGTGAAACTGAAACATACTGTGTAGAATCCGCGTGCCCGTCGCATGTTGGCGACGTCGCAATTTTTTAATGCTTCTCCGGGATATGTGCCCCCCCCCCCCTTTGTCCATGGTTCCCCCGGTTCACAACTGTGGGTGCTTGATGAGTAACGTGATGTGGCAATTCCATCGGGAAATCCTGTTCAGGAGAAGAACTTTAGGGGGGAGCAAGTAGGCTGGCCCGATGACCAATGGCTGTGTAATAAGTGTGAAGATTTATGATGTGTAAGGAGACGGTGAAAAGGTGCAAAAGCCTTGTTTTTTGGGTGGTGGTTTTTTTGTTGTTGGGAAGAGGGCAAGAGGTTTGTGGCAATAAATCAAATCCTAGTGACGGAGGAGTCGAACAAAAATTGTCCAGGGCTTTGACTTCAGTGATTACATAGCTCGGCCAAGTTGATATTTGGTCGTATTGCGTTTAACTAAGTGACAAATGTGAAAGCTATCAGTGGTTCAAACGATTAATTTTGCTTCAAACCATGTTTAGGTTTTAATTTTAAACCGTGTAGCTCGTGTAAAATTATGCAGTGCTTGAAATATATTCGTTATGCGGTGCGTTTTATAAATATAGCCACTGATTTTATACATTGCTTTAAGGTATTTTTTTGTATTGGGGGAAGCAGTGGCACAGTGAAAAGCGCACTGCACTATGAACCCAGAAACTCGAGTTCGACTCCCGACCATGGCGACTTCAGTGGCGAGTGATAATTACATCTTTCCTGGGCCCTTCCCACCGTCACCCCCCCCCCCCCGCTCCACTGACCAGCGTGGCAAAACAACAAGCAACCTCTGTAACCAACACAGAATCGGGGAGGCCTTCACCCAGCAATGGATTGACATAAGGCCGTGAATACTTGATTCTATACTTTTTCCCCAGTTGTGTTAATGGTGAGGACATACTTGGCCAGTAAGCATATTTTGTAACGAGCACACACACAGTTCACGTGTTTATATTCATGTGCAAAGTGTATATGTTTCATATACATACGCAATCAAACATATGTACGGTGTGTGTTATGCATATTGAATCTGACGGACAGTCAGACTGCATGCACTATTGTTCTTTGCCATCCCTCTGAAACATTTGCACCATACACGACTCTGTGTATCTTCTGTTGTAATTTGACTGTACCGTATGCAATCATTCTTCTTCACATAAATTAATTATGACCCCTTTCTCCCCTCCCTTGCTGCCCAGCTGCCTTGTGTTTATCCTCCTTTCATGATAACCCCCACCTAATATTCCTGTCACTGCATAGCCTCTTGAGAGATACCATTGTATCGAGATGCTTTATACATGCAAATTGTGCTTTTATGCCAAATCAAAAGGGTTAACGGTGTCGAAAAATAAAGTCGTAAGTGTTAGTTTGCACACCTTTAATATCACGGTTTCATGATACGTGGCATATATAATGGAGATGAAGAGACACGGTGACGGCTGTCAAGAATATCGCAAATACCGAGCGCCGCCTACGCGGGCTCGTTGCTATTTTACAAAAGAAAAAAAACGGGACGGTAGAGGCATATCCTGCACTACAGGGAACTTTTAAAAGCTGGAAAGTGCTCTTGAGAACAATATGTTCCCCTATAAGAGCATCGTAAGGAAACAAGATGTTCACTACAAAAAGGTTCGTGGCTGCCTATTATGCAGTATCTGTAAAAACAACGGGCTTAGCTATTAACCGTTGTGGCGTTGCACTTTTTCGGTGCTTACCTGCTGTAGTTTTGTGTGAACCTCAGCGGGTGTAATTTCAATGTAGAATTCGAGCCTCTTGCGCTGAATTTAAAATTTGCCTTTCATAAAAAAAGATAACTCAATGATGAAACATTACCTGCATGCCAACTGTAGTGTGAATAGAATATTATACTTTCCACGTTCAGCTGGAATGACTTAGCAGGGATTTTCACCTGCTGAATAATAGCAGCTCTTTAGTAATTAAAGCAAGAAGCATCAGCATTAGCAGTTGCAAAATATATTTCCACTGCGATGGTTGCAGGTGGGAAGATTTTGCTTCTTCCGCAGATGCAAATTAATTCTCGTGATTTGTATTTCACGATTTGATTCACAAAATGATGCATTATAGTTCATGGTGTATGTCATAGCGGATAGTGAGCGCTGATTAAAAACGTTCTTTTTTAGGCACATTGGTATGCATGGAGAGAGAGATGCATGCTTGGAATTACATTGACAGAAAAAGGAACGCGTGGAATGGAGAGAAGATATGCGGGTTAATTGCACCATTCTATTTTTTTTTATTTTACCAGGTCAGGCCCACTGAGCTATGTAGCTCTTTTTCAGAAGCGACCTGGCCACAAATAATGGCTCAACAAAGTGACTTATGTCGTGGAAATGTGTTGCAGCCAAATACTCCAAATGCATGTTGATTGTAAATGTGGAGGGAAAAACCCGAGCACCCGGAGAAAAATCCACTTGACCACGTGGAGAGAGACACACAGACTCCAAATATACAGGCGTCAGGGTCAGGATCGAACCCACGATCTCTTACATACCAGGCGAGATCTTGACTTAAAGCTTTCGTGACTGCAGGAATTCATATTCTTTGGGTCTTTTGGTAAAGCCACGTAGATATTCTACCAGGTTAAATGTCTTTACATTAACAGGATAAATGTCTCTCTAACAGCCACCGTTGTTCGTTTTCCTCGATGTGGCGGTGGTTTTCGTGTTGTTCGTTTTTCTTACATTGACATGCTAATCTCTCACAATACAATGGCCACCTCCACAGCTTCGTCGTCGTGGAGGTAGCCCAGCTCTCCGATCTTACATTGACATGCAAATTTCATCTCTAGCCCCGCCCACTTCGCTTATGACCCTTGGGCTACACCCATCTCTAACCTTTATAACTCCTGCCTCAGCAGCTCTCCCACTATATTTTTTCACCTGATGACGATTGCTTGTGTTGTGATCCAAATGTCGTGATATTTTTATTGTTTATTCTCATTTTCTTCTATCTACGTGGCTTTACCGAAAGACCCAAAGAATATACCAGGCGAGGTTTTTAACATCTCGTCACTGTGGCACCCATTCAACCTATGAAGAAAAGAAAGGGTTGGTGAGGAGACATTTGTAAAATGTTGGATTGGGTGACGGTTAAGATTAATGACGCAGTGGCGGCCGAGGAATGGAACGCATCCGAGAGTACGTCCACCAAGGAGATGGAGCAAGGAGGTCAGCTCGTGTGCAGGTGTCGGGTGGATTATTCTATTTTTATGACCATGAGAGATGGCAACGCATTAGAGAGGCCTTCATTTAGCAGTGAATGTATCATGGCCGATTATAAATGCATGTATAAGCTGTAATGCTGGTTCAATATTGCAGGGTACATCTTAATTTTTTTTATTGTCCTATTTGAATTTGGGATTTTTATCTAACAAACATTTAAACAATTATGGGAAAAAACCTTGGAGCCTGCTTCTTGGTCATTTAAACAAACCTTCCTGCATACTAAAACTTTCATAACCATTGTTTTATGTTCAAAACGTTGGCTTTTGCGACCAATATCATGACTCAATTATGTAATAATTTATGAATAATTTGCAGTGATCTGTAAATCCACCGCTGGTTTTTGAAGGCCTTCCCCAACCCATGTCGGTCATTGGTTTTCACGCTGATCGGTGTGGGTTGGCGAAGGGGTTCCAAGACCAGTTTACATGCCACTTGCCTCTGATGTTATCCATCACTGGGAATCGTACACAGGTCATTGAGTTTAAAATGTAATTGTGCTAACCAGCAATACCACCTTTCCACCCCATTTAAATATCCCGGTGTGTGTTTTTACACGTGTTTTTTATGTACCTGATATCTAGAGACGTAATTTTCTCATAGTAAATTGCTTTCCCATTATAAAAGTCCATGGATAGTTAAGTCAAATCTGTATAATGTATTATTTTAAATGAAGCACGAGGCCTCTCCAAAATGTACATGAAGAATCGGTGGCAAACCTTGTAAGACAACAAACGCCGCTGTTCGCCACTAAGCAGTGATGTGACCATGGCGTTTGTTCCAGGCTAAGTGGATCTTGAGGCGACGTTAAGTGTCGAAGGCTCACTGGCAGGAGATCACGAGACAAACCCAGGTGCTATGGGTTGACTTGCTAATATGACTGGCAGATGCACCTCCTGTGCTCAGGCCTTGTCAGATAGGCCTTGTAAGACCGGCTCTTACCAGATACGTTTTCTGATAAATTTCGTATTATGTTCAAAGCAATAATAATGAATAAGCATTTTTATAAATTCATCCTGTTCTCAAAACCTTTGCAGGTGCCCTTTTACAACCGTTAACACATTCATAAAAAACATTATTTCTGAGCAAAGAATAACGATTTGGTGTTTAACTGGTGCAGTGTACTGAAGTAAAACACAAGTTATATAGACAGATTATAGACCATAGGATTGGACACTGAAGTGTGTTGAAATGTTTTCTTTGACTTATTATTAAGTAATATTAATGTGGGCGGTTTGGGATATGAACCCCTATCTCAAAATTGCTTCTTTCTCTACATTTAAAATGATTAGCCCAAAGGCTGTTCCCTACATGCCAAATCTTTTATGTGTGCATGCCATTTCTTGTTAAAGCTGTAATGGAACTTAAAACCTCCTTTTTCCGTGAACAGCAGTGATGGCTTGTACCCAGGGTTTGGCTAGATTTCCCTCCCCGTAGCTCCGTCCTTTGTATTATAGACTGTGGTCACGAGCTGATTTTATACACGTTCATACAAAACAGAGCCTCGTTTGATGCACTGTGGTTAAAATGATGCAAACCTGTTTTGAAGAAAGTGCACCTTTTTTTATAAGTATTTCTCATGCAGGGTTTTTGTAAACGCCATGGGATGAGCGATTTACAGTTCATGAATATCAGAACTATATGATGCAATTAAATTTTGTTCGGATGATAATACAGTGTACAGGTTTGAATAGCTGTACCGTTCCAGAAAGTTTTCTAGGTGATTTCTTGCGGTCGGTTAAGTTATGGGTATATACATGTCTTACAACCAAACTCTTTTGGAATCGATGGGTGTCCTCTTTGTTAAAATTAGCTCAATCTCAGGTGGACCAAGAAGTAGAATGAAGCATGCTTTAAACACGATTGGTCATTTGTAGTAGACATGACTTGTCGACCGTCTGTGCATGGGTTTAAAAAGTGAGTGTTATCGCAGGAAGTGTGTTATTGAGGAATAAGGGGCATCAGATGCGTAATAGCTACAATGCCTTGAAAGAGTTCTAAGTACGAGAACATTTTAAGTTAGTTTGCTGACCAGTGGGATACTGATGGAGCTTGTATTATAATGTTGCCCTTCATGTATTTGAGCGCCGAGTCTCGCAGAGAAATTATGTACAATGTGAAGTTTAATTATTTATTATTATTCGAGATTTTATGTTTATTCATCTAATACATTTAAATGTGTCGTGTAACCCGTAAATGTTCAGGTACCTGTCCTGTGGCTAATCCATCTGGCCTATTTATTCCATGTGCTTGATGGAAATTTTACGGAGGAGAATTTTCATTTGTATGTATATGCCCAAATTGGTGGTTACTTTTGATTGTCTCTTTATGGGGTCTAAATTAAAATGTTTTAATTTTGCATCCTAGAGATGTATTAAAATGGCCACCTTGGTGCAAGTTTTGAAATTCATAATATTTTCACATTTTTAAATATTGTGGTTCAGATTTAAAATCTGTAATATAATTGAAATAAATACAAAAAACGTTGAATATTTTATCTCACATGCTGTGGCCACCTTCCTAGAAGAGATTCATCACTTAGTCTATTGAGGCTCGTAAGTCGTGACCTGATTAAATCATACCAACCCTCTGAAAAGGTCCCTAAATGTTACAATCTTTTTTTTTTTAATCCGTTAGGATTCTTTGTTATATCCGGAGAGGTTAAATTCAGTTTATGCATTATTAACTGTGATGAATTAAACCTCCATATGGGTAGAATTTTTAATAAAGTGTCAGCTAACGGCACCCTCTACAAATCATTTGCGCTTGGGAGCGCATGAATCATTTCTAGACAAAAGTTGCCGTTTTTTTGGGGGCTTCTTCAGAAGGGCAACACTTTTGTACTGACGGGGGAAATAGTACACGTGCTGTGTGAATCCATTCAAGCCCATTTTTGTTTGCCGTGGATCGTTGGCTTGACATCATCACGTGGTGTCCTCTCCGTCTGCGTTGGAGCAGACGTCACAGCAGGCCTTCGACAGTGCTTCTGCGCATATTGGACAATAAAAAGACAAATGCGTGCCTTAAAAGCCAGCCTCGATGAGGCATTGCACTGTTCATGCGTTCATGCAGCAATCATTTTTACAAGAGTGTAGCATTCAAGGATATTGATTTCTGATCGTGTAACTAACATGGGAACGGCTACAGTTTGTCTTTTTGAATAATGGTGGGTTTTTTTCCCCTCGTAGATAAAATGTCTCTTGCCTTGTGACAACAACCCAGGCTACATTGACACGTGCAGCCTGTTAAGGGTAATATATTGCCACGGTAATGATTTCCTTGCTAAGCTCACTAACGATAGGAATAACTTTTGTTTATGTCCTTCATTTGTCTCTGGAAACTAAGGACACCCACGTGAAAATAATTATCTTAAGTGTTCATCCTAAGACAGAGGAAGAAATGTAATGTTTATTGTTTTTAATAAATCCAACATGTTGCAAACAGCTTGACGCTGATCAGGACCCTTTTATTTTGATTATTATTGTCGAAAAATGGTTATGTTTTATTACGAGTGATCGCAAATGCAAATGTTAACATCTCCAGAATGTATTTAAAATTGTCGAGATTATCCATTCCAAAGTGTTTTACATTTTTAAAAATTCAAGGCAACTGATCCCTTGTAGGCAAATGAGATGATTACTAATTGCATCATGTTCTTTGCAGCATCACCATTCTGTGAACCCTGTAGCGATGGTGGAATGGCTGCTGCGATTCTGGCGCAATAATTGCTTCTTTCTGTGTGCACGTCTTGAGTGTGCTATCATCATAATTACGATAAAAAGGATTTCCTAACCAATATACGGAATGTCTTTCTTTGAGCAGTTTTAAAATTGGGTAAAAAATTGTGATTAGTCGGGTATGGCAATGAAATGTCAAATAGCAATTATGAAGTCAATAATTATTCTATTGTAATTTGCTGTCGTGCAAAACTTAAACGTTGTGGCCGCTGTTCCGTTATACGCTGGACTTTCTATTTGTGATTGTTGCCCCTTCCCAGTTTGATTTTGGACTGTTGGGATGTTTTGCAGGAATATTGCCGAAGCCCTTGTGAGTAAAGGCTTCGCCACCGTCCTGCGATACCGCCAAGATGATGACCAGCGTTCTGCCCACTATGACGAGCTGCTTGCTGCCGAGTCCAGGTATCTACACACATTGACTTGGCGCCGTTCGCAAATGAGCAGTGTTACCCAGTGGTTGGTGTCGTGGTCGGCACATTGGACTCAATCAAAATCGGAAATATTTATTTACACTGGAGGAATCCGATGAGCTTATAAAGCTTTTTTTCACCGATGTCCAGTAAGGGCGTGCCAGAATATTACAGCAACAAAGAGTACAAAAACTCAATAGGTGTGCAAAATGTAGGTAAAGCAAATCACTAAAAAATATATATACAAAGAAAACTTACCAGCTATTAGGTTCTTGTCTAGAAGCGACCTGACCACAAATGAGAGCACAAATAAGTGGCTTATGTGAATATTTATAGCAGCCAAATAATCTAAACGCCGATTCGATTTTTTGTTTGTTTCGGGACGGTAGTGGAAGCAATGCAGCGGTATAATTGGGTTCACCACGGCTCGTCGATCAACAAGGTCGCATGTGGAAGTGAATTGTGGGTACTCCTACTTCTTGCCATATTTCTGGCAAGTTGTGGAAGAGTGCCCAAGTATCCTTTAGTTGGGAGGTCTTTAGAGCTCCCACTAGTTGGAGGCCCTTCTGTTAGTAGTGGTGTGAGAAATAAATTGTAGGTCTAGAATTTTGGGTGTCCATTTTGTATTTTTTTAAGGCCACTGTCATGTTTAAAGTGTGTTGTTGCTGCTCACCTGTATTAACTCTAATAATGAAAATAAAGGCTAACTGCCTGGTAACTCGTCTCCATAGCGCCCATATACTCGGATTAGCACGGTTGGCTAGGTACGGCGCGAAAGAAGTTTAGCCTATACATGCATACAGAAGCGTTATTGCCATAAACGTCGTTTTTTTTCTTCCTTTTAAGGTCGAGTTATTGATGAGTGAGTTTTGTTACCTCTGAAGGGAAGCCAAACTGTCCGATGTCATTATATCCGCCTTGGTTGGCCGTGTTAGGCCTTCATAATACTGTGGAGTTGGGAACTGCATGCTATTACTAGTCAGTGGACTACAAAATACCAGTTTTTTGCAAAGGTAGTGGTTACAAATCAAATAATAGTTGTACATTATTTCAGTCGTGATTTTGTATGTGAAGTGTTTCCTACCATAATTATGGTTGTTGTCCGAGGATCCCTTACACTATAACCACAATTGTATACAAAAAAGAAAGGATGGAATACAATTTTATTAAAAGTCAAGAGTACATGTAATGCATATCTGCTATAGAGAATTAGTGAATAATTACATAGTAAACAATCTTGTAAGAAAGGTTTAAAGTACATTGCCGATGCATCTAATTAAAGTAATTATTAGGCAGTTTGTATTTACCAAATGAACAGGACAGCAATGCATTTAGAATTAAAGTATTTTGATAGCAAGCATTACATAACACAGAAAATAATGCGGTACGTTGTGTGAACTGTGAAACTTGCATTGAAAGTGGCACGTATATGAGAAAAATGTTTTTCTTTGCTAGTCGACGAGCAATTCGGTAAGAAAACTCCGAGTGATTGTTACGTAATTTATTTGGCAATTTTTCTTTACATATTGCCACTTAACTTATTATGTTTGTGAAAGAAAATCTGTTTTTTTAGAGGGATGTTTATTAAACTTATCTTACTGCAATTTCATGAATTATGTTTCTTTAGTCGCTTATTTTTTGTCAAGATATTTTTTAAAGTTTGTGAAATATTTCTGGTATATGGTGGATTATGGTAATCTAGTACGTCGGACTAAACCTTTTGCCAAGTAAACATTTATCTTTGTGTATAATATAATTCGACCTATTATTATTTTGAAAAAAATATTTTATTTCAAACGAGGGTCTAATAAAATAACGTCTGATAAATGTTACTGTCTGAAAATAAAAATGTATTGTAAATTCCAGTGGCATCTACCAATGCTTCCAAGGAATATATACATGACACCGAATCACCTTGCCACATTCATCATTGACACTTTCTCATGATAGAAGCATTTACAGTTGTTTGACAATTCAGGCAATCGACCTTCAGAGCAAGGAGCTCTGTGGCAATTGCCCAGAACGTCCACCGACTGTATGTTTCTGTTATACGGCACCGTTAATGATGCATGAATTTAATTTTTAAATACACGGACACGCCACTGCCAACGCAGTTACCGAATTTTTCTGAGGGAAAGAGTAATCGCCATTTTGTTTCGTGGAACTGTTTTAAGAGCAACAGATGCAGGTTGGTACAAAACGATGGCAAAAAAATGAAAAACAAGTTTCATTTTTGATTTAAAGCCTTCGTGACTGCAGGGATTCATATTCTTGGTTATTTCGGTAAAAACACATAGAAGGGAAATAATAAAATAAAAATATAAAACAATAAAATTCTCACAACGTTTCGACTGCAACACAAGCAATCGTCATCAGGTGCTGTGGATTTCACACCTGATGATGATTGCTTGTGTTGCAGTCGGAACGTCGTGAGAATTTTATTGTTTAATATTATTTATCAATATTATTTTATTATTTCCCTTTTACGTGACTTTACCGAAAGAACCAAGAATAACAAGTATCATGCAGCCATTCCGAGGTAACCATATGCTTTAAATATATTATTTTTTTGAGAGAAAAAAACATTACTTCCACATTTTATGGAAGTGTTGAAAATATCTAAATGCAGGAGGCACTTAATGTGTCATAAAAAATGTTAAATAAATAAGTGTAATGCAGTCATGCTGAGATACCCAAATGCTGCACGCATGCGTTTATTAATTTAATGTGATGAAGAGAAATTGACCAGCAGCCACATGCTGGTGTTAATGGTTCTCCGAATAGTGGAATACATTTTCATTATATTTTTGGGTATTCCTACAGCATGAATTGCTTACCAGAAATAGTTTTTAATGTTTCAGGGTAGATGCAATCGAATGTTTTTTTTCTCAACATTCTTTAACACGGTTTGGGCAGTCAACCCTTTTTAATAGCGGAGAGACCATCCAATCGCTAGAAATGTCACGGAATATATCTATACGTACATTTGTTTTTTCCATTTAATGGTATTGTTATTGACGAATGTGAGTTTTTTGTGGTTGGCGTTTGTTAACCGTGCCTGTGCACCACTGCCACGTGTAATAATACGTGTTTTTGTTATTCTTTGGTTCTTTCAGGAAAGTCACGTAGATAGAAAAAATAAAAATGAAGGTGATATTGTTATTCACTTTTTTTTATCTATGTGACTTTACCGAAAGAACTAAAGCAAATATGATTTCCTGCAGTGACGAAAGTTTTAAGTCTGAGTTTGTTGTTTAAGCAAATAGTGCAGCTTTGTTTTGGCCCACCCAAGCGGGTCGCTTCTGGAAAATAAAAAGAGAAGGGGCAAAAATACGCTGAAAGTGCTATCGTCTAATTGATGGCACAAAATGTTGAAAAGTCTCTTTGGTGTCAGGAACCTTAAGTGGTGGGGATTTCAAATGCATTTTCACGTCAAGTTTAGAAACAATTTAATTTCAAGGACACTTTACTCAAGCTGACAAAGTCGTTGTTTGCTTTGAAGTAATGTTAAGGGAAGAACAGTAAACACGGGACCGTCTGTTGCCTTGCTCCATTACTCCGTTTCATGTACGGAACATCTTTTATTTGGTAGTGAAAGTGAGAGATTTATGCTGGCGGGGTCCAATCCGAGGTTGCAACGCAGCGCTGGGGTCTGCAGCGTAAATCCGCATCCACCAGAGGAGAAAGCCTCCATAAAATAAGGCCAATACGAAATGGTACTTAATTTTCTTCCACTTACTTTAGACTTGGCACAACACAACTTTGCTCGATTGCAGGCTTGGTGTTTACTTTAATGAAATCACGAACTCACATACGTACAGTAGACATCTTGATTGCTGTTAACACAGTGTGGACAAAACTATTCTGATGAAGTGTGCAATTGAGAGCCCTTGGAAATTAACTGCAATTTTTGAGTACAAATTTAATTTCTAGAGGAAGAAATGCCAACGTGGATACTGGGGAAATTTATGGTGCGAAAAATCATTCAAGGCATGTCTGCTTTTCTTTTGCGTTGTCATTACTTAACGGGGGGGCTGGTTTGTGTTGGCCAGCACACAGTGGCCTTCTTTTATGGATGGGGGGGCTTAGAGTTTTTACGAGTGCAAGCTTACAGGGCCTAGCCAGTGTGTGATGCCTTATCTTTAAGAAGTCTTGCCGTGTGCCGTTTGGATTGTAAATAAAAAAATTGCTTGCTTATAATCATTCTCCCGCAGCTGATTGTAAAGGCCTACAGTGGTAGGGAGGATAAAATATATCTGGATTAAGATATGCGGATATCTAAATATATTTTTTGCTGAAATAATTTTCTTTCGTATTCCGAGTTCTTTAGAAATTGCTACTTAGGTTTTTTTTTACGAGCAAGAGGAATTTACCGTAGGCTTTTTTTTGTGTTGAGACAATACGTTGCTGGGATAGCTAAAGCTATATTGCTGAAAGGTGTATTCTGTCTCCATTGTGTGATGCAAATTATTTAAATGTAGTAAAAGTCACTCATTGCTTTAAAACGGAAACCTGGTAATTGATTGTCTGGTGTGCTGCTATTTGAAATTATAACTGTCTCGGCCTCGCTGTGCGCTGCGTTGCACCACTATCCGAGTAGATAACCTCGCATTCAATAAACCTTCAGAGCCAGGGTGAACATCCGACTCCAACGTATTTAATGAATGAAATGAGGTCAAACTGATGGAAAAACAGCACAAAATACAGTACCTGTTAATACGTGGAATATCAATACAATGAATGAACACTGCAGCATCATAACATTTTCTTGGATAACATGAATCTCAACAATAGGTCCTGGATGGACCAGGCACCTACACGAGCACTGAATGGCTATACAACAATATAATAAGCTACCGTGTTAAATAAGGTCACTTTGTGTAATCACCATACTGCAGCCTAAACGTACAGTGCTGCATATAACACTGAACTGTGGATAAGATACTTCTTCATCCTTACTCTCAAGAACGCATTAAAGTTACATGGGCACAA